GGCCGGTCCGGTTTGGATCGGGGGGGTGGGGGGGGGGGGGGGGGGCGTACTCATGTTTTGCATGCCTTAGCTGTCAAGACCGTTGACCAAGTGGAGAGAGGACGAAGCATTGTTCCCACAGGTGGAGTGGGGAGGGGTTCCTAAAAATGCGCGACTGTGGGGGCCGCCGCAGCTGGCGCTTGAGCTTTGGCTGGCGCCAGTGTCGCCTAACCATTTTTTTTTTCTACCGTTTGTCACGTGTGGTGTGGTGTGGGTTGGCCGCATGGCGGTCCGCCCGTTCATTTTGCGGACCAGCTTCAGGTCCCGCAAATTGTCGAGCAGAATGGCGGCATCTATCCCCGTTTGTGTGCTCGGCAGCTTCTCGTGGCACACTTGGAGGATATCCGTATGTATCTCGACGGATGCCCTTCCAAGTGTTCCACGAGAAATTTCCTAGCATACACAACCGGGGGTCGGTGCCGACGCTCTGCTCGTCGATTTGCGGGACCTGAAGCTGGTCCGTAAGATGAACGGGCCGCACGTATATGCTACCCATGAGTTGGTGTAGCACTTACTTCCACCGGTGCGATTTTCTTTTTTGTGTTGGCATGAGGTGGCATGCGTAAGGTTAGCCTGAGGCGCGAAAGTGAAGCCATCGGGAAGGCGGGAGGGGGTGGAGTTCTCACGAATCCTGGATGGCGGTGTCCTACCGTAGGAGTGCGTTGAAAGTGTCGTCGTGCCCTCTCAGGGGAGAGGGAGGGGTGTCAGGGGGCGGGGGGTGGGGTGCATCTTTCTGAAACGGCAGTTGAGGCCAGAGTGGACTACGGCCTGCTGTGTTCCCGCATGTGATGCTTGTTGCAGGATGAGGTCGGTACGCCCAATGCGCGTCCGAGGATTCATTCCAAGTATCCGGTGCATGTCATGTGGTATGTTTTGCTCTTTTTGGAACGATTTTTTTTTTTCCTGCCGTGCGGGGAAAGGCCTATCCTCGCGGCGATGCGCAAGTGTATCTATCCGCCTGACTGCGAACATGCGTTCGTTGAATCACAAGGTCCCGAGTACTGCTCGCAGAACGACACCCACCCACTCAAACCATGTTTTTTTTTTTGGCTCTTCCTCTCCCCCCGCCCTTTTTTGTTCCTCGGACCACGAAGAGCCTGCTCAACAACCCGGACATGCTGCGCAACATCATGTTCAGCAACCCGCAGATGCAGCAGGTAACACCACGCTACCGCTTGGTTGTCGCGAGACCTCCCCCCCCCCAGCTGAGTTTGGCCGCTGGGTTTCTCCGCGGGGGCGTGCAGCGGGGGGAGGGGTGTACTCCCCAAACACATGCCATAATCCTTAGGCCACA